TGTTCCTTTAAGGAAAATAGCAAGTTATTGAAGAAAAATGTGGAAAAATTGGAAGAGAAGCATTAACATTTTTATGCCCTCAATTTTATGTTTTTATTTTTATGCCTTCATTTTTAAGAATCATGACTGTTTATGTATGAAAGATTACTTTAGAGTTCCTGAAGACCATTTTATACTCCCTGATGTCTTTTCATCTGCTGTTCTCATTATGTACCATTATATGTATGTATTACATCTACTCTTTATGGTTTCTAAGTTATACATGCCCTTATCATTGATGTATGTACTGATAACTATCAATTAATGTACCTTGTATGGGTCTTTGTTGCTTATTGGAAATATAAATAGACTCATCTCCACCCAACATACTTGTATACACTTCTAGATCCGCATTTCACTTAATTTTATGCATTTATATGTTTTTTCATTTTTCCACTTTTTTGTATAAATTTTTTATATATTCTTTTTATATATATATATTTTATACATTCTTTGTATTTTTCTTTCCCCCACCAGTACTATTTATATTATTCTTTAGGCTGGTAGTTATGGATGTTAGGGGTCAGCCGGTGGGTAGGCAGGAAGCAGAAGAATGGAGATACTGCAGCCCCATGGTGGATATCACGGCAGAGAAAATTGTTTGTTCCATTGATAAAACGAGAGGAGGTAATGAGTGAGTTCCACAACAATGTAACTGATGGGCATCCAGGCATTAATAAGTCCATATCGCTATCTTGAGATCATTTTGGTGGGATTCACTCAGAGAAGATGTCAAGGAATATGTGCAGGCCTGTTCAGTATGTGCAGTGTTTAAGGTTCCTCATAAACTTCCATGCGGTTTATTACATCCACTTCCTGTTCCTAGTGTTCCAAGGTCCCATTTGTCCATGGATTTCAGCGTGGAACTTCCTAGTTCTAATGGCTACACCACAATCCACCACAAACAGTTGAGTATTGAATTGTCATACTCTTCGTCCTACCATCCCCAAACCAATGGTACGGCTAACAGGGCTAACCAATCGTTGGAATTGTATTTACGTTGTTTTGTGAATAGCACACAAGATAACTGGTTCGATTTGTTGCCCTTGGCCAAATTGACCAGGAACAATGCTACCCATGACTCATCTGGACATAGTTCATTCTTTGTCAATAACTGTCGTCATCCTGCTGTCCTACCGGCTGTTTTCTCTGACACAGCTATTTTGGGGTCAAGAAGGAATTTTTTCCTAGTTGGTTGCAAAATTGGAAGCCCTTCAGACTAGGTTTTTTGCCTTCTTTTGGATCAACAGCAAAAACATATGTGAGGAAGGCTGAACTTGATGGACACAAGTCTCTTTTCAGCTATGTAACTATGTAAATATTCCTGCTCTGGATGAACACCTTGCTTCTATTCGTGAGACTTGGACCAAGGTTTACTCTGCTCTCAAACCTGTGGCTGCTCATTTCAAATTTCATGCTGATAAACAGTGGGGTGCCAGCCCTGTTTACCAGGTGGGTACAAGGGTGTGGTTATCATCACACAACATCAAACTAAAAGTTCCTAGCATGAAGTTTGCCCCCATATTCTTTAGTCTATTTCGTATCATTCGGAGAATTAACCCTGTTTCCTATTCTCTGGTACTTCCTGCCTCCTTACATATTCCTAATACATTTCATGTTTCCTTACTCAAACCGCTTATTTGCAATAGGTATACTGCCCCAAGTGTTCTCCCTCCTCCATTGGTTGTTTATGGACAGGAGAAGTATGAAGTCTCCTCCATAATTGATTTTCTTGTGGTTCTTTACAGTATTTAGTTGATTGGAGGGGGTATGGGCCTTCCGAGCGTTCTTGGGTTCCGGCTTCCAATATTCATGCTGGTAGCAAGATTCGTTCTTTCCACACCAAGTTTCCTCTCAAACCTGGTCCTGCCCGCCCAGTGGGTGGTCTTTAGGTAGGGGGTAATATCACATATTCATCCTCACCATGTGGTATCTGCGATAGTAATTGCCTTCCTGACAATAACGAAAGTGCCGCCCTGTGCCAGTATACCTGACTCCTGCAACATGTTGATGGACGCCGGCTGCTGCGGATCCATGTAATTTTATATCCCCACATCCACCCACGGTAATGACAACTTCAACCTGCGTGGGACATGCCGCAAAAGACGCGCAAATCTTTCTTGGTCTACCTGACCTTGGCTTGGTATCAAGAAATCCCTGAATTTTCCACTTTTTTAATAAGTGATTGAACAGTACTGACTGAAATTTGATCAAGGCTTTGGATATCTTTTTATATCTTTTTCCATCTTTATAAACTTCCATTACCTTGTTACGCAGGTCTTTTGACAGTTCTTTTCTGCTCCCCATGGCTAGGTATCTAGCCTGCTCAGTGCATCCATGTGCACGTTTTGGGGTCAAAAGCCTCCAATTTGATTTGTTTCTGTGTCCCTGACCTCAGCTAGTATATTGACTATTCTTAGGTACGTTAAGTCCAGCCATTCTAAGGTCCGGTTAGACATTACCCTTAGTCTTAGGTGTGATACAGTTCTGCGTGCTGGATCAACTGTAATCCTGACAATTTTCGTCTCGTCACTCCAAATTACAATGTGCCAGAAGCTGCGAGGTATGTCAAGGTGTTGTCAGGCATATTGTAACCAGGCTTTTTTTGTGGCATTGGTAAAGGCAGCTAACAGCTAATTTTTGTTCAAGTATCGTCATATTGTGCTTCTTGAAACAACCACACCATCTTTTTTCAGAGCAGCCTGTATTTCTCCTGAGGTTACCTGTAGGTTTCTCTTTGTATTTCGAACAATTCTTCTGGCGGTTGTGGCAGAAATCTTTCTTGGTCTACCTGACCTTGGCTTGGTATCAAGAAATCCCTGAATTTTCCACTTTTTAATAAGTGATTAAACAGTACTGACTGAAATTTGATCAAGGCTTTGGATATCTTTTTATATCTTTTTCCATCTTTATAAACTTCCATTACCTTGTTACGCAGGTCTTTTGACAGTTCTTTTCTGCTCCCCATAGCTCAGTATCTAGCCTGCTCGGTGCATCCATGTGAGAGCTAACAAACTCATTGACTATTTATACACTAATTGCAATTTAAAAAGCCATAGGTGTGAGAAATTAACCTTTAATTGCCATTTTAACCTGTGTGTGTCACCTTGTGTGCTGGAACAAAGTCAAACATTGAAGGGTATGTAAACGCTTTGATGAGGTCCATTTGGGTGATTTCTGTTATCATTTGATTTAAAAAGGAGCCAAACAATGATATGATAATAAATTGCTTCATATGATCACTATCATTCAATAAAATATATTTTTTTGCATGATTAGTCAATGCCAAAATTTCACAATTTCTGCCAGGATATGCAATCTTTTGAGCACAACTGTATGTGTTTTTCATGTTTTCAAGGTTTTCTACATTTAAGATCTGTATGAGATTGTAACTCTATATACACTTAGCTGATGGCATACCTGGATGTGGCTGAATTTCCAGATTTCCTCTTCCTTCTACTCTGACATGTTCTAACCTGATGTCAGACTGGAAGAAAAAAAGATGCCATAAAAGTCAAGTACAATAAAGGGGATAAAGCAGGATAAAGAGAAAAAAGGGACCGTAGATACAGTAAGAAACCATTAAAAAAGAAAAGGAGACATTAGAAAGAGACGTAGATGTAGGAAATATACTTACTGAGTAGTCATGAGGGTGGGATTCGATGGCTTCAGGATGGTGGAATTGAGACAGTATCCTGGGAAACTTTATACAACACTATGTAAATCTGCCTGACATGGTAACACTCACAGCTCAATTGACAAGCGTTTTTAGAAAAGTGTCTATTAGTTTGTTGATCCAAATGCATCATGTACTGCTTCCTATCCTTATTTGCTCCTGAATAACAGAAGGAGTGTAATTGCACCAAGATATCAGTTAGCTTGTTATATTTAGGAGGATTGGACAATGGATATATACAACTAGGAAGGAGTGCACAGGGGAGATGCTAGGAATACACAAGAACTGTGAGAAATCTGTATTTGCAGTAAAACTACTTTCAATATGATAAAACTTGCCTCTGAATTATTTTTTTTAATCTGGATTTGCAATGCACCAATATCCAAGGTCTAATCTGAGCCACTTTGTTTTGCCTTCATATGGGGATAGAATAAGGGGATTATTGTTTATACTACAGTTTACTGGTTTGCATTATGTATATGTGTTTTTCTTGTTTTTAAGGTTTTCTACATTTAAGATATCTGTGAGATTGTAACTCTATATTCACTTAGCTGATGGCATACCTGGATGTGGTTACATTTCCAGATTTTCCCTTCCTTCTGTCCTGGCTTGTTCTAGCCTGATGGCAGACTGGAAGAAAAAAAAGATACCATAAAAGTTAAGTACAATACAATGCACCAGTGTCCAGGGTCTAATCTGAGCTACTTTTGTGAGTTACGTTCAGCAATTTATCGGTTTGCATTATGTAGATGTGTTTCATGTTTTTAAGGCTTTCTTTATGGAAGATATCTGTGAGATTGTAACTCTATATAAACTTAGCTGACAGCTTACCTGGATGTGGCGGAATTCGCATATATCCACTTTCTATTTGCATTGGAGTGTCCTAACCTGATGGCAGGCTGAAAGAAAGGGTAAGATATGATGAAGGCTAAATATAATAGAGAAAAAAGTAGCAGCGTAAAGAAAAAAAAGTACAATAGACATAAAAGAAGCTATTAGAAAAGAAAAGATGCCATTAGAAAGAGAGGTAGATGTAGGAAATATTCTTACTGAGTAGTCATGATAGTGGAATTCGAT